TCTAAAGGGTACTTGAAGTAAACTACAAAGTAAGCTCGAGGTTATGTATTTCAAGTAATTTGTGGTAAGTACACCGGGTTCAACGTACTGGAAGTAATTACAGTAAATACAATACACTTTCGAATTAAAGTACAAGTACCTTTTAACACAATCTTTAATGATGCCGTTTCATTCGCCTATACAGCGTTTTTTTATATTGGTATGCATTGCCCCAGGGGTAATCAAAGGTCAATCAGTTGTTTTTGAAAGTGACGGCAAATATTGAATACAGTCAGGTGGACACAGAGTAGTTGTTTTACTTTCGCTGATGAACTCTTTAACAGAATCAACTTAAGAGGCACTTATTTGTATCAGTCTTATATCTGCGATTACTCGCAGATACTGCGATTAGTCTTATATCTGCGATGGCATCTCGAAGGACGATAGCGCGTTTGCACATAACGAGACACAAGTTTTTTTTGTTAGAGGTTCGTTAACTCCTATACCTGAGCTTAGAAGTTGTGTACATTATTGTGAAAGCCAAGCTTAGTTTCACCGAGACGAAATTTGGGGAATTTACTTTCAAGTTGGGAGTTGTACTTTCCTCGGAAAGTACCGGCAAAAAATATTTTAGGTAAAGTACAAGTACACAGTCAGAGAATGCACTTCAACTAAAGTACAACTTATCTAACCCTACTTAAAGTAGTGCTTTAAGTACAATGTACTTTCAGTATACTTCGCAGCACTGCTATTGCTTAACATTTTAACAAGTTTTGTGTTTTGTTTTTATTACAATAGTTACAACCTTCCTAATTTCGTGTTAAAAATCAACTTAAATAACCAAAGTGGCTATGGGCAGAATTGATTTCTCAAAAAGCTATATCAGTGGTTCTCAACCATTAAAGGGGTACTCCGCCGATTTCTTCATGGTCCCCGATTTGCTTGAAATTTTGCTAAACTCGCCAAACAACATCGCGAAAATAGTATCCCAAATATTAGGTCAAAATAATTTTTTTTTCACGAAGTTATTGAATTTACAATTTTGGTCCTCACCGTGTTTTTCAAACTGAAAGTCTCTACTGGCAACAATGAAAAAGTGACGTCATTGGAAGTGCAGGGGTTCACTCTTTGGACTGTAGAATTTGTTCCCAACTGATTTGAAGCAGTTTCATGGTGTCAAATGAATGCCTTGGAAGCTCGCTCCAGTCCCCGCGCTCCAGCACGGAACAAATCATTGGCATATTCTATTTTTTAGACTGCTCGCCCGACTGGCAAGCTGAACTTCCACTGACGTCACGGCCCTGAAAAGGGCGGGTATATTTGAATGTCTGTTTTTGCATCATTTTCATTTGCCGATTTCGCAATAACTATTATGAATTTCACGATATTAAATAGCATTCCAGAAAGGGTAAAGGCCTGGGAGTCAGAAAATATAGTTAGTTGAGGTAGCTCAAAAATCGGCGGAGTACCCCTTTAATGGTTGAGAACCACTGATGATGTTGTTAATTGATGTTGAAGTTGATGTTAATGATGTTTCGCGGCCCCCTTGTGGATCGGCGGAGACGATGGAGGACCCTGTTCATGGTGAGGGGAAGGAAAATGTATAGGTTAATTATGATAATGCTTTAATTAATGTATAATGGGCTGTGTGAAGTAGACTTCTCTCATTGGTATACACACGAGAAAACTCACCCGAAAATTGGAACGTTTCTTCTCAATCAGAGAAAAAGACAACTTTTATTGTTGCCGGGCTTGACTAATGGTGCAGGGCTTCGCGGACCCCTAGAATGCCTTCGCGGACCCCAAAGGGTCCGCGGACCTCCGTTTGAGAGCCGCTCAGCTATATCATACAAGTCCTGAAAATAATAACCATCGGTTGATTTCCTAACGCCGAACTAGAGCAATTCCATCGTGGTTTCAGTAACCGCAGATAACTAATCAAAACATGAAATTACAGTGTCAATTTTACTTTTCGGATTTAGTTATAAGCGCAGCCCTTAAATTTAATTCTATTATTGATTAATCTTCACCTGCCAAATGCCTCCTAAATAATTATTCCAAAAATTTTAATTGCAAAATAGAAAACATATTACGAAGGGTGATGGTTCGCATTTCCCGCTCCTAAATTTCAGCTTTCTAAGGACTTCTGTTTTTTGTATGTTCGTTAAAATTAGCCCTTATCCGACCGACTAACGTAGCGACAAAAAGTAAGGGCCTCTAGCCCCCCCCCCTTTTCTTACTGCACTTGCCTGCGGTAGATTACGTGGAAAATCCAAAACCACGGTATTGTTATGTAGGAAATCAAAAGTGAAAAAAAGGTCACCGACTTTTTTTTTTTGTCCTTTTTGTTTGCGTTATCTTATCTTCTATTGTGAGTCGTGACAATATGTGTATGCCAGCTCTGCATAGATTGGAACTCAAGGTGGAGCTTTTATGAGTGGGTATTGGTGACAGTGGTAATTTACATATTTTTGTGCAATCGTCGCCATGTACGAGTATGGGTATGCATAGCCTTCGTCTCGGATCACTGTTGTTGCGGGATCCTTGCGTGGGCCCGGCCAACACCTCTTAGAAACAAAGGCAGTAGTGCTGGATTTACTACGTCGGCTACTGCAGCGGCCAAAAGCGGGCCACAAATTGGTCGCAAGCATAGCGTCAGTGTTCGACTGGGACTCTGGCTGAATCGGTGAGAACGCGATTATCAAGCGAGCGGTGACGAAGCACAAATCCATGTGCACCGCACTTGCCTGCTGTATCTGACGTCACAAATCCAGCACTACGGCCTTTGATATTTAGGAGGCGCTGGTAGACCACTGTCCATTGCTTCCTAAAGCTTTGGCTAGGTGGCGCAAGCCGCCGCCCGATTAAGAGGGTTTAGCCCTATAGCCATCCATTCACCCATCCCAACGAGAATGCTAAGGGGCAGGAAACCATTGTTTGCGTTAACTTTGACTAACTGTAATGTTGAGACTTTTAACGCACGTCAAGCAGGTGGTAACTGTTACGACAAAGAACTCGTGAAAGCCTCAAACTGAGCAACCAAGAAGATGCCAACTCAGCGCAGACGCTTTACGCGAATCTCGTTCCTGCACAAGTGCAGTGCCTACGCAAACGCACACTTGTTTGTAAACAACGTCTTGGTCTTAGACACTTCCAAAATGCGACGACGGCAATAAACTTGACGGATATGGACAAAGGCCTGGGTTAGCTGGAAGGACGAAAATAACATAGAAGGGACAGGCGAGCATATATGAGCCTTCACCATTGTGAAAACCCGAGACATACGAAGCTGTTTTCGAGTTTGTGGGTTAGTCGTTGTCAAATTTCTAGAATGTTGAAAAAAAAAAAGGTCACATATTTTCCTGTCCGTTTTTTTTTTTTAAATTTCGAGCGCAGTTTTTGCAGCAAAAAAAAAAAAAAAAAAAGCCCTATATTTATACATTTTTGTTTGCATCGAACGGACATCAATGTGTATGACATGTGCCCAGGACGTCCCTTGGCGAATTGAAACATACAAAAGACGGATTACGTCTTGAAATGGACAATCCATTTTGTTGGACACCGGAGGAAGAATAGAAACGCCGGAGGGGCAAAATAGAAACAGTTTGCAATTAGCTAAATAAGCAAAATGCAATGAAAATATTAATACAAAAGAGCCTGCAGCCAGTCTCCACTTCGTAATGCACGCGTCACATGACCTTCACGATAATGTAAGGACGCTTGAGGTGAGAAGAATTGTTTTCTTTGAAAGAGAACGAGGTTAACCAAGCTGAATGATGCTGGTGACTGCATTCAGCTTCAATTCACGGGCCCTACGAAATATCTACACATTCTGAATCTTCGCTTCTCAGCTATAAAAACAATTGTCAGTGACCTTTAATCCAAAGCCCTTTAATGAATTTAAATTCGGCGATCACGTGGCATCACGGTGTCAGGCAGCGTGCCGTAACGTGACACCGTAGTGACGTAAAATTACACCTCGACTTGACACCCAGATTTACAACGAATTTCTGGGAGTAACGGTTTGCGTTATAAGGCAATCGTTAAAAAAAAAATGTGTCCAGCGGCATTGGTTTTATTCAGTGTACAATGCTCTATAACGAATTGTATTGTTTTAGTGTTTTCTTTATTACAATCCCACGCGAGCAGATTCACTGTGAAAGTCCACTGGTCAGCCCTTTCTATTCAGTTTTTTCTTAAACATATAACTGCGTTAATACAACCAATGGTTGGTAAGGTAAAGCTGTGTCAGGGTTAATTGCTCTGTTCTGAGTAATTGTTTTGGCTCTAGACGGCGGAGGAGGACAACTCCTGCCTTGAACCGATTCGCGACGAAATGAGGTCGTCTTTCTTGTTGCGCAACCGCCCTGTTCTCGGAGTGAAGAAAGCCTCCGCAAGGTATTACTATTCCGCAAGCGTAGCCTACAACTTTGAGCGCAGAAAACGCCCATTCCTTCTAATGCGTTACAACTTCGCACATTAAATCAGCGCCGAAAATAGGGCGCTGTTTTGAACACCATTTCGAGACAAGCAACATTGCATATATTCCCTATCGCCTGCGATTCAAAGATCACTCTGCCGAGTTGACCTTCGAGATCTGCCGGCTGTCGTAACAATCGAGCGACGTGGAATCAGGTTACCAATCTCCATTTAATCTAATCAGAGATACTTCGTTAGGCCCTGTTCGGGGGCGACGACAGTTGATGAATGGGGATCTCTGCACATTCACTCAAGGCGTGCAAACGAAAAAGCATTAGCAGCCGACAGCTGGTAACGCGCCGCTAGGCAATTTACGCACAGCGAGAGTTGCTACATTGTGATCGTTCGTAGCTCTGTCCCCTGTTCTCTCCGTTCTCTCGGAGGAAACCGAGTCGTTCAGAGTAGCGAGAGTCGGAGTCGCTGCAGAAGCAGACGACAAAGCAAGGCTCAAAAGCGGCACGAAAGACGGGGAAAAGAAAAAGGCAAAAGTGAGGACGGTGGTGCCACATCGCGGCTCCTGAGGGAACCTCGCTTAGCGAGCCTTGAATGCTCTCGCTGCGTCGACGACGGAGCGGCAGCGGACTATAGTATAGCGTCAGCAGCGTCGAAAGACGAGCCCTTCAACGAACGATGGCCGAACCTTCGGCGCCGTCCAAGCCAGCCCACGAGGGAAGGCTCTTTATGGATGCACAGGATACAACCAGGTAAGCCGCCCTCCAAACTCGACCAAGAAAACGGAAAAAAATCCTCAAACCCAAACCAGAACTACTCCATCAACAAGCGGGCGGCTCGTAGCAGACGCCGCGAATGGTGCATGCGGCGTCGTCTGCGACTCTTCGTAGTATGCTACGGTTTCGGCGCGACTGAGACGGACGTTTCTGGAAGAAAGAAAAATAAGAAAATAAGGAAACGCCGGCCGAATACACGCGTTGACGAGCAAATCCTCGACTGCGAAGTGGAGATGTCACCCGCAGACGCGGGGGACTGCGTTGGACCGAGGAAACATCTCGTGCGTCAAATACGCTCCACGGCGTCGCAAAACTTCGATCGAGCTCTACGCGTGCCGAGGGATGAGAGCGGTTTTGAGAGCTTGGGGGCTTGGAGGCCCACTTCGCGTGGTCACGGATATTTGGATCGTAATCCAAGCTGGGTCCAGCGCCGACACTCTTCGATATGTTCTTGTTATATATGTTTTTGTTTCCAGTTTCCTTTTCGTTGTCAGTTTGCGCTGGAAGCCGGACGTTAGGTGACTCAGAGGAAAAAAAAGAAAAGAAAGAAAGAAGGAGGGAGTGCTACTACCTGCGTGCGTGCAAGCGCTCGTGGATTCTCCTCTCATCATTCCTTGCGCTTTTCTCTCCTTGAACTCGATGCGTCGGCGTAGAAAGTCTCGCGAAAAAATACATTATCAACGGAAACACAGGCACGCTTTACATAAATAACACGTTGTGGCATGGCATCCAAAAGTGTAAGTGGGATATTATAAACATTTGGTATACGTATGACGTAAATGATCAGAAAGGTCAGTGCCTAAAACTTCAAATTGCGTTATTTTCACAAACAAAATAGAATATCTATCTAACAGGTTTTTTGTTCCGCATTTGTTAAAGTACAGAATCGTTGGGAGTAGTATTCATTGTTCAAATTTCTGCAGATAAGACCAAGTGTTACAATTTCAATTAAAAAAAAAAAAAAAGCTTAAAAAAATGAACAGCAACATAAATATAATGCTTGCGAGAGTGATGCAGCGAGAATTGCTCTTACCTTTTTTTACGTAACGTTTTTCTTTGTTTTTTTTTCTCTGAGTTTTTATGCACTTTTTTTTTTTCTAACAACGAGGTCAAGGTCATGGCAGTGAAGCGTGCACCACGCTGGCCTGGAGGCCGCTGTGAACTCGTGCGATGAGTGCCTTTTGTTTTTCTGTAGAAGTAACATCAGCGAGAAAGCGGATTACGGTTTTGTGCTGGGCATTTTAGCAAACGTGCACTCATATTGACAGTAAAAAAAGAAAAAAAAAGCATTTACCAACATTGTAAATTACTAAAAGTACTAATTAATTAGCACTTGAAATCGTGCTTTAAGCACATTTTTGTGGCGTGCTTGTATTTCGCACCAATTACGTTTAAGAAATGTGCACTGGCGTGTAGTACTCGCACTGCACTTGTACTTTTGTAAGGAAATATAATAGACTTTCGAACTATATTTTTGGAATTCGGCTTGTGATAAACTGTTGTAACCTTTGAGACATTTGGTTGATGATCCCTTGATTCTCGGACAAAATCACGAGCTTTTATTCTTATTTTCTTATGTAACACGCAGTCCATTTTAATTATATTATTTTGTTTAATTAAATACAGGTTTCGCGGCAACGAAACGCTACACCAAAAAACACGGTGTTAAAATCATTTTTTTAAAGTGATGTTTATATGATGTACATTTTTATAAATTCTCTATTTTCTTCGTTCTTGAAATACAAAAAAAAAAATAATAACCAGTTGCTTTGTGTACTCTGCTTCAACTTCTTTTTTGGCACGCAGTTTATAAAATATCAAAATGCCCACAAGCTTTACTAAACAACTCATGCTTCTATCGCCTGGTGGCACTAGCCATACAATAACCAGTTTCATAAACCATGCATTTACGCGCAAGGAAGGGATATCAACCTAAGAAAATCTTGTGACAAAATATCGAATCAGTAATACCCTAGTGAAAAAACTTATATGCATAAGAAATGTTTTGGTCCAATAAACGCCTGTGATAGAATAAGCTCATAAAAGAGCATATATGAACCTTATGAGAACATATAAGAACAATATAAGATGACATACGCGGTTATAAGAAACTTCTTATCAGTTTCTTATAATTTCTTATATGCCCTTGTATGGTATGTATGGTATGGTAGAGTATGGATATGTTCTTCTATGATCTTATTTGATCATATGCTTTTATTGGACCAAGAAATTTCTTATACATATAAGATTTTTCGCTAGGGTAAGGGTGATTCGTGAGATACCCGACAAGTTCTGCCCACCTCAATATGAAGAATGATATATGGAACGAGAAACACAATGCTCTGTTTTCAACACCTCCATTTATTTGTATCAGGGTGTTATGAAAAAAAAAAAAAAAAAAAGAAACAAAAAAAGGTATTTAACTGCGTGTTTAGTTTCGGCCGGTTCGTTCGTCATTCGAGTTTGAAAAGAGTCGACAATTACAAGGGCAGATACGAGAAGCTCTACACAGTACAAGGTGCCCCTGTGTTCTCAAGAAATTCTTGTCTCTGGTCTTGTAATTGTACTTGTAATTAAATTGCAAACTTGGAAATATTTAGGTAGTAACCTTAAACCGTGCCTTTTCGGTCAGCTTCAATGGAGAAGCATTTCTCTGGTAAGAATTTTCTGAAACTTCTTTAACTAAAAAAAAAAAAAAAAAAAAAAAAAAAAGAGGGGGTATTTGGTGGATTTACATTTTGCTTCCAGTAACGTCGTGCGACTCCGGAATTCGAGCACGAATTCCTTCTCAGAAAGTAAGTGGCTGGTCGCACGGTTGGTGTTTTACGCTGCGGCTTAAGTTCGGTGTTTTTTTTTTTTTTTTTTTTTTTTTTTTTTTGGAAACGAATTTTAATTTGTTTTGCTATTTTTTTTTTCTTTTTGGACTGGGCGCATGGTTGTCTCTCACATGAACATTTCCCACGAACAAAAATAAAGTATATAGTGGATTTACATTTCGCTTTCAGTAACGACGTGCTACTTCGGAATTCGAGCACGAATTCCGAAACTTGCACCTTTGTATTATTTGCATTGTCATCATAACCTTGAAATGCAGGCCGTTCACCCTTGGTGGTGGCACAGCTGTTAAATCTCGTTTGCTCTACTGACGTCTAACTCCTGGTTAGCTCAATCGGCACAGCGCTCCATTGGAAATGGTCCTTGGTTCGATACCAGGACCAGGCGAATTTCTTCAGTCGCACACCAGTCATCTGGCTGTGTTTGGAGATTTGTGTTTGTCCCCTTCTCCAGGGATTATTGTGTTTGTTTTTTTAAACCAGGGCTTTAGTGCTAAATATATATGGGTGGATATAATGACGTTAAATCAACAGTAGACAAATTATGTTTCTCCTGTCACTTGTAGAGCAAACGTCGGAATGTCGACGGGGGGGGGGGGGGGGGTGTTCATTGTACTTAAAGGCTGACGTGCACTTCGTGCTTTCCACTTTTGCCGGCAGCCTTCCTTTCCTATATCCTCTCCACTTTTTACCTTGCCCCAACTTGGCTCCCCTCTCAGTTTAGGAGAGGGGAGCTCTAAGAGGTTCCATCTTCTCTACAGAAAACCGAGGTTGTGCGTCAGCCTTTAAGCTTTTTTCAAAGCTTTTTGTTCGCAAATTGTAATTTTTTTAACCTGGAAGGGGATAATAATAATAACAATCAATCAATCAATCAATCAATGTTTATTAGAGTGTTCAGGAACAACCTCGCGGTTTTGGTGCTGGCACTCTTCAAACTACCAACTTATTAAAAATACAAAAACACAATTTTACAGAAGACCCAACAAATGCAGAAGGGTAACAATATTTCCAACAGATTATTCTTACTGGTAAGAATAATCTCTTGGAAGGAAAGTTAAAGCGGGCAAAGGAAATGTGAAGCATCGAGACATCTGCAACGCACACATATTGTAAAAATAAATTTCCCACGGTCGGACATTCAGCACTTTTCAGTGCTGCTCAAGCATGAACAGGTTAACATTAAAACGATTGAAGCCCAATAGCACGAGTCAAATATATCAAGTACTTCCGAGTGACGATTATAACATTCAGCCAACCTGAGGATTGGGACTAGCCGATTAAAAGCTCGAGAGATATAAAAAGATGCTTAAAGACGTGTACGTACGCGTGGAACTCTAAGACGTACTTGAGACAAGAGGTATGGTGAATCAATCAGGCCGTGCGTGACCTTAAACAGAAACAATAAATCTACTTTCTCCCGACGCCGGTGCAGGCTAAGAAATTTAAGAAAAGTTTTAGCACATCTTCATATATCTTACGAGGTACATCATCCTTAAGATAGCGATGCTTTTTAATAGAAATAAACTTCTTTTGAACTCGCTCATTCCCCACAGTATTGTTTGGGAAATTCCATTCCACACAACCGAGGCGTACTCCAGCTGTGACCTTGCAAGACAGCAGTACAATGTGAGAAACGCAGGCGGGTCTTTAAACTCTTTTCTTTACACGACATGCGGCACCCAAAGTGCATAGAGACGAGTTGACCACCTTGGTTACATGACCGTCGAACTTCAGGCTTGAGTCAAAGATGACACCGAGATCTTTCATTTAATCGACACGAGACAGGATTTCTCCGTGGATGTTATATAAACAAGAGGTATTATGCGTCTTACGAGAAAAAAGTCATGACCTTAGTTTTAGAACGGTTTAAACAAAGATCATTATCCAAGCACCATGGAAAGAAGGAACATGCGTCTACCTGAAGCTTAGTGCAATCCTCTGGCGTCACTATTTCCTTGTAGATTTTTTATATCATCCGCGTATTGAAGAAACATGGGATTTGAAATAACACGGGAAACATCATTTACAAAAATTGAAAACAAAAGGGGACCTAGGACCGATCCCTGAGGAACACCAGAGCATGTCTTATACAACGAAGATGTCGAATTGTTTACACGTACTTATGCGTTTCTGTTGCACAAA